GTGTTAAAATGGGTGCGAAGGCTGAGATGAGAGATCCACTGGACAAGGAGATGGAAGCTGCTTCTGAGAGTAAAGCTGTATTGAACTCTCTTGGTGCCAGACCAAAAAATCTCTCTGTCTTTGTTAAGTAAATATTTCCATAACAGTCATTCATCTACACTGCAAGAAGACGGTCCAGAAAACAAATCACACAAATGTTTGATATTTGTGCACTTTAGTCATTATTGTTTCTAAAGGAACATAACAATACAAAATGTAAAAAATCAAGGTGGGAGCTGATTTTTAAACATTTTGTACAAACACAAAAAAGCTCTATGAACAATTTGTGTTTGGAGAAAGAACGTTTAACCCTGGCAGGATTGATGGGCTAAAGGCTAGTCAGAGCTATCCAGAGCAGCCTGGGGAACATCTGCATGAACATTATTATATTTGTACCAGAATAACAACATAAAGTGAAACTAGCAGGGATGTAAAGATTTGTTGAAATAGATGTCACATAAATCACAACTTTTTAAGATTAGGGTTGTTTAAAGTTTATAAAACCCACTTTGTCAGTTCAGACTTTACAAGACTGATGAGCCTTTAGCTCATCAGTCTTGTAAAGTTTAACCCACTTAAAAAGATCTGAAATAAATCTTTAATTTTTTTATATTATACTGAAATCTGCTCAAAGTTATAAAAGCAAATTATTTCCTCCTTTTCGGGTGTTTTCTAGAACAGTTTAGTTTCATAAAACAAATGATTTATTCGCATAACATTTGCCTATCAGTTACTTTTGTATGATTTGAACAAAACAAGAGCAGATGTGATGAACAGCTTTTGACCAATCAGAACAGACTGAACTTTTCAACACAAAGACAGAGGTTAAAAACATGTATTGTTTTGGATATTAAAGTATGAAAAAGTGACATTCTCAACCTTTTTAAATGTAAGGGTCAACTTACACTTCTTATAACAAGGTTATAAGAGTAATTAGCAAGGATCTCTTATTTTGGATAAACATCTCTTTAGTGCAAAAATGAATGGACACAAAAAGTAACTCTCAGTCAGTGAATGTTGATTTGAACCATAATATGCGATCATTTATTTTACAAATCATACAAAATTGACTAGAGTACACCTGATTGTGAACAATTAATTTCCTATAAAAAGTTTTGGGACCAACAATAACAAGCTTTTAACTTCTTAATTGTTAACCACACTAAATGATAACGCATCAAACACTAAGGCAGCTGAGCTGACACTAACTGCAGAAGCAGATGAACTTGCCAACGACAATAGCCATGTTCAACATGAAATTTCAGGAACTGAAAGATTTCACAAACAACTCAAACAAAAGGGTAAACCTACAGTCATGATCAGTGACAACATTCGATCAGACTCTCAGACCTCATGGGATAAAACAGGTCTTCCRAGCAGAAGACAGTAAAACACAATRAAATAGGTCTAAAATAAATAGGTGTTAAAAAAAACATCTACTCCTAAAACTTAGAAACACTAAGTCAAAATCTTAAATTTCAAGAGAAATTCAAATAGGTCATAACAATAAGTTAAATCTATGATTTAACTTGACCACTAGAGTGCAGTTAGGGTTAACCCCCTAACCGTAGCTTATCTAAAACATGATAGCTAACACGCAGAGGCAYACATAGGATTAGCCTAATGTAAAAACCCAACTTTAGGTTAACCTAAAAACCACATAGGTGCACAACACATAGTGACCAGAAGGGCATCAACTGGAAACAACGCAGCCTTCAACACCCTCCACGATGGCCCACCTCCTCTGCCAAGGCTCTATAAGTGTCGACGCTCTCGACCTGCATCCTTCTGGGGGTACCCATCTTCACGCT